ACTCATCAAATGCGTCTTATATCGCAATTTGTACACACCAGCGTAAGAGAGCGATGCGAGGTACTTGGCCTGTCGAAAGGCATGTGATGTCAGGGTCGCTGGTGGTGCGGGAACGCACAGATCGCGCCACTAGCTCGATTGCCGGGGTGCGCACAGACCTTTCCACGGTAGAGACAAACAACTGACTGGCTCCTGTACGTGACAGATATCTCATGCCCAAGTAGCTGTGCTAATGTTCTGGCGCGCGTACAGACCAGTGTATATCATGGCCATTCTGTTCAAATGCTTCTTCTACGACGTACGCAGCGTACCGGTACGGTACCTTTCGAATGGCGCCTCGGGCCGTCCCGCTGTGGTCGCTCACTACATTCGACCGAGATGACGTGACAGATGGAGATGTTTATCCACTGCTGCCGAGTTGTGGTTTCAACAACTCAGCCAGTTGATCATACTAGTCGTGTATATTCCAGTACCTTGGAAATTTTCAGCCTTGCAGACGTACGAGTGGTCAAGCGCGACATACTTGATCTAGGCTGGCCATGCCTCGTGAAGTGAATGAGTCTTTGCGAGTTGGAGGAGTCTTTGCGAGTTGGAGGAGTCTTTGCGAGTTGGAGGAGTCTTTGCGAGTTGGAGGAGTCTTTGCGAGTTGGAGGAGTCTTTGCGAGTTGGAGGAGTCTTTGCGAGTTGGAGGAGTCTTTGCGAGTTGGAGGAGTCTTTGCGAGTTGGAGGAGTCTTTGCGAGTTGGAGGAGTCTTTGCGAGTTGGAGGAGTCTTTGCGAGTTGGAGGAGTCTTTGCGAGTTGGAGGAGTCTTTGCAAGTTAGAGGAGTCCTCGGGAAGTGAATGAGTCCTTCACTGTGTGGTAATTGTAGTACTTATAAGGAAGCCCCAACAACATTATATGCCCTCGCTCATACCCAACACTCTTGCACTCAAGCGACCAGAATACGAATTCGCTTCGGCCTAACAATATTGAGACCATTCGATACCACTAGCTATGGCGACCGACAATAATTCCTCCAAAGGAAAAGCCAAGCAACTTATCCCATCACCCCAGATGTTTGCAGACGCGACAGCATGTCTCAAGCCGCTGGCACACTTTGACATCCTAGAGTACTGTCTTGGATTCGAAAATTCAAGCTTTCCAAAGATTATGGAGTGTTGTGTTCTGTTGAGTCTAATCATTGATCCCAGCAAACAAGAAAAGAATCTCTGGTCAGAAGTAGGCTTCTCTGTTGTAAGACGTAAAAAGACACAAGAGCACATCGAGAACCCTGGAGATCACAGCGAGGCTATGATGAAATCCGTCAGCTTCCATCATATGCGCATCAAAGACAACATGCGGTACCTCAACTCCGTCCAATATGCCACGGATCCCAATCAATTCCGCAATCGATTTGGGGAAACTCGCTTCACAGAGATGAAGGAAGCTAGGAAGGAAGTCGAAGATATTTTCAGGGGCCAGCCGGTTGTCCTCTTAGCTTTCACTGAGCAAGACAAATCTGTCGCCTTTCCTGAACTCCTACAGGCTCTACCCGACATCTTCGATAATGTCGTTGCTATTATCAGCACGCAACGCATAGCTCGTGAGCGGGGCATCGATTGGAATCCGGAGAACCCAATGACATTTGAAAAATTATGCGAATATCTCGGTTATAAGTGTCAAAGTCTGGATGGACCGTCAAACTACGCAGGCTATAACATGGTCGCGGCCATACAAATGGCTATGCGCAGCAGGATTCCATTGGCTAAGATATCGCTTCAGACCAAGGTACATAACCTAGAGCTTCAGAGTCAATTCAAGGAAGTTGTATATGGCACAAAGGATTTTTGTTTCAGGTGTGGCTCGGACGAACACTCCACATACAACATTCACGGCCATCTCAAATGTTACATGCCCATCGATGAAAAATGCAAATTATCCCATCCAATCGAAAGACTAAGTACACACAGTAGGCAGACGTGTCCGCACCATTCATGGATTCTGTCCTCACGATAGCTTGGATCACACCACATTCGAGGTCCCCACTTTCACCTGGTGCCTTACTGCTCGATTCCTCTTCGTCGCATGCAAAGTCACGAGGTGCTTTGTCCATCAACAGGTTGCGAATCGAGTTTGTTCCCATGCACCACCGTCCATGAATATCTAGAGTGAAGGGGTGTTCGATGTGTTTTACGTCTAGGAATGAATATTCAATAATATACCTATATACCTACTTACCACAGGTGCTTTAAACTAAGTGTTGTCTATGTGGCCGTGAGCGCCATTGCCCTTGATAAGAGTTGTCTCATCTTGGTCGCAAATGCCCATTGAAGTTTGCTATTAGTCGCTGATCCCCCACTTGACTACTAACTGGTGAAATATGATTATTTTTTATCACGTTATTTCACCCTGAAGGATGGCTTCATGGCTACACCCCCGATTGATACACACGTTAACACCACCGTTTCGGATCTACATGTTGATGATACTATAGCGTTCACACGTCGTCTGTATATCAAGCTCAACGTACGGTAACTATGCGTACATTATATCACATTGCAGAAATCTAACATGGATTCCTACCCTTTTTGATCCTGCCACCTTCGACCCTGGGGACATGAGCAACTTGTGCCTCACCGGTGTGTATAGAGAAGCATTGCTCAAAAACTTTTATTTCTATCATGTGCAAATCAAGGAGAACGCGCACCTTATCAACATTCAGTTTTCGTCGGCGACCCCAAAAGCAGCCGCTTTGAACAGACCCGATTCGGCGACAAGAAGCAAGCTTGCTCAATGTTGACTTAGATGTTCGCCTAGCCATCCAGCGACTTGCCAATGCTCGCTGCTGCCTGATTACAATCTTAGACCATTGTTTTTCTGACCATCTCTCCGTGTTGTGAGACACACTGGGCTTCGATGTCTCTGGACTCGGCATCTTAGTGAAGGCCATTGATACTCAGCATCTAGCGCGCAAGACTGACTACGCACCAGACTCTCACAAATTGATCAGGCTTTACAACCTCGTTGACGGTTGTGACTTCTAGTACCACAATGAGCATATGACCTGCAACGACGCCGCCGTGGCCCTTATCTGCGCTGTTCAGATGGTACTCCCTCCGTCATGACTGGCAGCGCCCCACCGCTCCAGATATCGTCGACGAGGTTGAGCTGGCCGGCCAGCAGCAGACATGGGCCTGAGGTACAGAAAATTCCAGTGTCCGTTGCGGGCAGAATGGCCATACCAGAGGCAGGCGTAATAAGTCCGCCATGTGTGGCACTGTGAGTCGCCCAAATATGAGAAACATACGAGGGCTGTGAGCTTATATCGCTGTCAGATCGTGCAACAGCAGGTAAACATGGGCTTCACCGAGATCTCGTTGAGTTGGCGGATTACGGAAGGTTACAATGTCCATATCATATACCCGAGAAATCACTTCCAGTGTCATTTATATAGCGTCCGTTAGTTGTGGATACCTACCGATATACACAGTGTGTTTCATGCGTTGAACTTCACTTCATATTAGCGCAGCTGCAAACCCGCGGTCCGTAAGTACATCCACATCAAACAGGAATGCGACATCCTGCTAACTTTGACCGCAGGGCGAATAGCGCTTCACTTCGTTCCAAGAAGCAAACGATGTCCTCTGCACCGATTTCGCTCGGCCAATAGAGTGTCAAAATAGCAGCCATCCTATCATGCTCATGGGCCATCATGTTAGTCACGACAAAGGCAATTTGAAGCACAAGGACCTCCAGTTGGACCTTGAGGCTCTCGGCACGTTAGGTCGTACGACTGGTACCCAGATGATCGTGAAGGAGGTCAAGTACTGCCACTATCCCACGGATAACATTCAGTTGAACCGGCTGTTCAACAAGCTGTGCATCGAGCACAAGCATCTCCACACAGCGGCAAATGATGCCGCTCGAGCCCTGATGGTGGGTATCCAGACTGCCCTTTGTGACCATCCGTGAAAGACCGGGCAGCAAGTCGCGAATGAGCTCGAAGCTCACAGCCAGAGCAACGTTGTGTCACTGAGTGGTGACCAGTTCTACTGTAGCAAGTGCGGCAGTGATGCCCACGAGGGCACTACGTATATTTCCACCAACCTGAACTGCGCTATTTGTTTGCCGGCAGACCGTGTCGCGGAGGCGAAGACGCACATCAGCGTCCCCTGCCCTTGGACTGCCTTGGACCGCGCCTTGGCCCGTCGGGAACGGGAGCGACTGGACCAGCCTGCGAAGGAGACAGCAAAGGCGGCTAAGAAGATAGAAGTCTTCAAGTACAAGCAGGGGGAGTTGTAGCAGTTGCGCAACTTCTACCAGTAACCGCTTTTGAACACTGTCAAGCACTATCCCGCTGTTCATAGTAGTCCTAGTCGAGTGGCTAGTCCCTCTGTCAGCAACCACACTCCTCCCCAACCCCTCAAAGGTTCGCCCACTTCTAATCTCAAATGTATCTTTTCCCACCTGTCTAAAGGCCAGGCTTCTCCATATCAAAGCACTCTAACCCTCGCTCCTCAACAAGGCTCCTCCCTGGAATCTGCCCAGTCTCAAAGGACAAGCAGTCCAACCGGGCCGCCCCAGTAACAGCCTGGCTGGGTCTCGTATGGGCAGCCAATCTCAAAGCCTTGACTAGGAGATTGAGCATTGAAACAGTCGGTATGCTGGAACGAGGAGTCTGCGGTTCTGTCTTGGGCGATGCGATGTGTCGGAGGCTTATTCTGGGAAACGGCGGCGGTGATTGTGGGAGGCGTTGACGACATAGGCTTTGACGTGAGCAAAAGGTGGTATTTTGCGGTCTGGGATATATGTGAGACATGGTATTTCAAAGGCGTTTGTTAGGTAGTAGAAGAGCGGTTCATCGTTTGCATGGCGCAAGGAGTTTACAAAATACATGTAACCCATGGAGCATGGACTTCTTTGATTATTCTGTATGTGATGAAAGTGCGATAGTAATTCAAGCTATTGACTCCGTGATTCTCTTGTTGCACTTCAAACCACAATGTAGCTTTAGTAGGCGGCCTAGGTGGTCTACTTAGTTGTGATATAGTCAGTAACGGCGTTGCAATTCCCTGCGACCACTGTACAAACTCGGCCGCCATAAATGCCCCAACTGGCCGTGAAGTCTAGAAATGCGTGTTTTCCCATAAAGCCAAAGTCTTCGTATCATCCTCTGTTCTCTTGTATGCGTAGAAATCGCCGCGAGGTTCGTTGCGTCTCGCGAGGCAGACTAGCATGTTCGTTCGTCTTCACTTTCACTTCGTCTTTGCAAGCCCACATGACACCCTCGGCACATACCTCTGATGACGCAAAGGCAATCCATAGTCCTCACTCTCACCGCAATACCCCGCCGCCGCCGCTGACTATCGTCTCGTGGTGCCGTTTGTTTGCATCCCAACTCCTTGAGCGAGCACACCTGCAGATATAAAACGCGCGCCACCTCGCGAAGCTCACTTTAACTCACTCTCAACTCTTACTTTACCTTCACTCACTTGGGTATAACACAACTGTATTAAATATGCCCATGGCCTGGGCCTCTGTTGCGGCCGCCCCGCCCAAAAGCCTCACCCCAGAGCAGCGCATGCAAGAGCTGCGCGAGTTCTACGATTCGCAGCCACTATGCGCGATAGTCCAGGAGACTCTTGGGCTGCGTGCGATCCCCGGAACCACCGGTGGTAACGCCGGACTGATTGAGCATGCCGTCGTCATCGGCATCGACACGGAGGCGTGGACCAGAAATACCAACGAGATGACGGAGATTGGGTTGGCGGTGTATGAGCGCAAGGAGATGATGGAAGTCCAGAGAGAGAAGAATCTCTGGGAGATAGAAAACGGTTGGTTTGTTGACGGCCACGATCACTTGGGACCTTTTGGTGAGCAGCTCTTGATGAAGATGCGATTTTACCACCTTCGTATCGTCGAGAACGCGCATCTCAAGACAAACGCCAAGTGGATGAAAGGGGCTGAGGGGAACCGCTTTGGCCATTCACGTTTCGTCACGTTTGCTGAAGCGCGCGATATCCTCGATTCGTTGTTTGACCAGCCTATTGTCTCAGACGACCCTAAGCTCCAGGGCTGCAAGAAGCCTATCATCCTCGTCGGCCATGCCATCTCCCACGATCGTCTGAACTGCAAGAACCACGGCCTCGATTACGATTGGTTCAAGCACGGCACTATTGTCAGGGAGGTTGACACGCAGCCACTGGCGAAGGCGACGGGCACTTGGTTTGACTTTGCCGCTCCGAACAATGAGGTTGGGTTGGCGAAATTGACGAAGACGTTGGGATTCCTGCACGAAGACCCCCATACGGCCTGTAACGATGCTGCCAGGACTGTAATCTCGGCTATACAAATGGTGCTTCCGCGAGAGAGCAGAGAGAGCCTGGAGACAGACATGCAGACGGTGGCACGATACATTGAGCAAAGGTCGAAGCAGGTTGCAGGTCCAAGCTGGGGTAGTGCGCTCTACTGTACACGCTGTGGCGGTCGCGACCACGAAAACAAAGATGAGGGAAACCGCTGTGCCGAACGGGTATACTGTAGAGCTTGCGCACAGCACGATTGGTTTGACGACAAAGAGAACAGCGATGATAGCTTTGGGAGTGTAGGAGAGGTCAAGGAGACGGAGGAGTACTGGGAGACGCATATCGAGGAGTGCTGTCTCCACATCGCGGAGTACAATGCCTGGGTTCGTCGGTGCAACGATGCAACAAGGAAGCGGAAGCCACTGCCGCCTGGTCCTCCTGAATGCTCTCATCCAGGCTCCAACACTATCTTGACTTCAACGTGGTCTTATACCCCCAGCCATCCATCGGCGACTGCACAGTCTTCTGGCGGTGGTGGTCGTCGTGTCCGCCGCCACGTCGGTTCACAGAAAAGCGAGCTGTTGGGCAAGAATTGGCGCCGTGGCGATGATGGCCATTTCAATTGGTAGATTCGAGGTTTGGGTTGTTGTTCGACGCAGCGATGAGTTGATCTGCCACCGACGTTTTTTTGGATGTTGCCTGTTCATTTTCTTTTGTATATGGAATCGACTCGCGCTTGACGGTTGAAACCCTGAGACGTATGAGTCTTTACGATATGGGTTTATATGGAGTAGATTTGCTTGACGATCGAACCGCAGAACCGAATGAGTTGTCACAATATGGATCGTCGTTGGGGAGTTCCATTCAGGTTTGCGACTAGAAATACCACTGCTGCAAAGATTAGAAATACCACTATAGTAGATTAATAATACCACTGCCTTGACAGCGAAAGCACTACCACGTTCTCATTAGCAAGTTGTACCACCATAGCATTGAACCCAACAAATTCCGCAACCTAAAACTTTCTTCAAATACCTCACCTCCACGCCCATCCCGTGACCCCCGTCCCCTCCCACCCATCCGCGCCCATCCTGCCCATGTACGAAAGAAAGATAGACAAAATCTTGATAAATCTCATAGTCCAGACTCACTCCCCCTCACAACCCACATCCCCCCGCCACTCCCAAACCACACCAATAATATGCTCTCCTCGACACGCACACAAGCCATCCAACAAGCCATCCACCAAAACAACCTACAGCACAGCAAGTCCCAGCTACCAACCGCAACACCCGCGCCCGTACTACTAACCAGCCTAAACTCATTCTTGCATTTCGCTTGCATTTTGGTGAGGAGGTGTAGCCGTATTAGGCTGTGTAGGCGCGCTCGAGGCGAAAAGGGGTATTGTGCTTGCTAGTTTGGCTCAGCGGGTTGGCGTTAATTTAGGGGTGTGTGTTTGCGCTGTGGGCGATGCTGGCGGGGAGTTACCGGTAGGAGGCGCGGGTGTGCGCGAGGTGGATGGCGTAGTAAGCGCGCGGCTGTGGAGAGGCCCTAGGCGATGAGTTTGGTGTTGTCGAGGTATGGAGACTGTTTGATCTATTGTATGATGGAAGTGAATATCACTACTAGTAGGAGATTCTAGTTAGGTCGACCAGAGCTATACTCGTGTGGATGGTATTAAATAGAAAAGCTCCAAGCGCGTATACTATAATAACCTAGGGTAAGTCATGCACTTCATCCTCGCCAGGTTTCCGCCTTGCATACTCTCGAAGCACTTGGGCCAACTTGTCTCTCGCATCTCTTCTCTCAAACACTTGTGCATGATCTGCCGTAGGCCACCAGATAGTCTCTAAACCATGACCTTTCCATTCATGTTCTTTCCATTTCTGTTCTTCGCTCTTCAAATCGACCCTGTTTAGGTATTTGCCGACCGTCTCTGTATCAACGATCAAGTCTCTGCCACCCAGACTAACTGTGACATCGTGCCCGCGAAGCTCTTCGGTCCACAGGATGTTCTGCGCCCAGAAAAAGTGCCGCGCTAGAGTGTGCGCTACCATCATATCGGTAGAAGCGAACCAGTACAGCTGATGTTCGTTCGCGCCTCGGGGTTGTCGTGCAGTAAAGTTGTAGGCCACGTCGGGCAAATGCAGTAAGAAGGTAACTGGATCGACAAAAAGGATAGGACCAATCTTTGCAGCTGTGGTAGCATTTTGCAGAATCTGGGTAGAGATTATAGAGCCATAGGAGTGGCTGGCAAGAACTACCTTGTCGAATCCGTGTCGCTCGAGAATAATGTTGATCTGACGACACATCTCATCTCTTCCCAGAATAGGACCAGTAATGCGGAAACTGATAGGCATGATCTCGACCGCAATGATGCCTATTTCGCCGTCCTGTGCAGCATCAGGATCGTGCTTGTTGATCTCGGCAAGAAAACTCGTATAAGGCCACAGCCCGATGCCAATGCCATGTATGAACAGAATGGGCAGCCGCGTCTTCGACGTGTGCGGGCGATACCAGTAACTGAGATCTGGCGCAGAAGACCTTGATCTGGTGAACAAAACGGCAGGACGAGGGGGAAAGATGGCTAATGCAGAACGTAGGTGAGTTCGATAAAGGCTGAAACCACTACAACGGAGGCAAGCCGCAGTAACTGTGTCTACCAACATTACAATCTGTGTTCATGTCAATATCGCAATGTCTGACACGGGCCTCGTACTTACTATGTACCACAGGACTGGGCGGTGCGACATCCTGACCTCGTCGACTGTCAACCGCAGGCTCTTTGCGCTACCCCAACCTGGCTCCAGTCTTCGGCCAAGCAAGGTTTGGATGCCATTTGCATACTCATCAAGCTCTTCCTCCTGCGCCTTTGACTCATCGGGATGTGCTTGAACGCGAACTACGCGCTCCTGCTCGGTCTCGGACCCACGATACAAGAGCCCCCATGCAAAGAACTCGCGAATATTCTCTCTTCGCACCTCGCCCGGCCTTGCGCCAAGAAACCACCTACTGATATAGTACTCGGGGTGGGGAATCTTGTCCCAGCATTTCCAGAACAACGCCTTTCTCTCGGCAGCATCAGGCGCGGGGGGGTGTTGGGCCGAGGCTTGGAGGCTACGCTTCCGTGGCAGGTAAACGAGCAGCCAAAACAATGTCTCAATCAGGCTCCAAGTAAGTAGAAAGCGGCGAAACGCAGTGTGAGGCGGCTCGGCAATGCTAAACGACAGCCAGAATATGCTGAAGGGAGTGACAAGGCGGAATCCAAGGATTACGGCCCTGATGGCGATGTATTTGGGGACCGTGTTATCCAGCATATTGTGGTTGTCGTATGCAGACGATGTGATGCGTCAGTTAGTGGAATCTACGGTGTTGTGAGATGCCACACATAGTCCGTTAGGGCAGACAAGTAGGCGCCTCTACTGTCTTACGAACGACATCTGGACATGGTGGTCGCGATGGAAGTTGGCTCGGACCCAACTTCCGCAAGGAACCGATGACGATGACGCACGTGAAACGTTCCCCTCTGACTAAGCGCCATACCGTAGGTAACTGCCAATACCATAACCCCAATTCTCTTCATCTCCAACACATAAGCCTCAACATCAAACAGACAACAAATAGCTTTCCTTTCCCAATTGCCCATCTCCCTCAACAAATCTGCAGCCGGGATCTCGCTAGCTTAAAGCGCCCCGCCCAACCCCATCAACGCCCTCCACCCCCTCAAGACCAACACCATCATCCCCATTCCAGCCCAACACTACCTCGAGTTCGCACTTCCACACAGTTTCCAGATTCTATGACCTTGTATCGCATTGACCTGTGAAAATAATTCATATGGGAGGCTAGAGTGTCTTTGAGGGGGAGGGGGTATTATAGGAGTGATATAACGGATGTGAGGACTTTGGTAAAGAAAAAAGAGCGCGATGAGATGAGATTCAAGAAAAAGAGGGGGGGGGGGGGGAGAATACTTGAATATTCGTGCATATGCATGTCCCCTTCAGTTAACCATTCTACACACCTATCCACGGCCAAGATAAACCCTATCCCTCCGTCGATTCCTCCTTCCACCCACCCACTCCGCCTTCCCACTCCCTCCTCACTGTTTCTGCGAAATCATCATTTCCTCATGGAGTCCAATCGCAGGCGTTTCATTCACCGTCTTATTCCCCTCATGCGTGCCCAACACCCCCGGCGTTCCCTCCAACTCCAACACGTAATCCACACTGCCCTCGTCGCGCATAACATACTCTTCCTTGTCCATGTGGCGAAACAGGACATAGAAGATGACGGCTAAAACGGCACCTACAATGGCGGGGCCCGCAAAATCCCACGTGAGATAGGGGTCGCGGATGACGGAGGAGCATGCGAGGCCAATCGCGTACGCAACCCCCGTGTTGAAGAGGTTGATGGCAGACACGAGACCGCGCATGTTGACGGGCGCGCGCGAGTACGCGATCCCGTACGCGGGCACGTTGACAAAGATTTCCGAGATACCGCCCAGGCCGTAGGGGATGGCCATCCACCAGATCGTGATAGGAGCTACGCCGGTACCGACCGTGCAGTTATCGGAGCCGTATTCGCCGCAGGGAGATTGTTGGTAGGCGTAGTAGTTGAGGATGGCGTAGCCTGCGCCGCCCACGGCAGACATGGCGAGGCCCGTGGTGATGCGGGCGACAGGGCCGTAGTGGATGCGTGCTTTGCGGAGGGCAGGGTAAAGAGCATAGTTGAAGATGGGAGCGGCGACGATGATGCTGAGGGTGTTGAAGTTTTGGATGACGTCGTTGGGGACGCCGTTGGTGGTGAGCATGGTGGAGAGGTAGCCGGCTGCGCCGCCGATGCCGTTGTCGTTGAGGTACTGGATGGGGAAGAAGCAGAAGATTCCGGTGGCTTGGAAGGCGCGTCGGACGTCTTCTACGAATTCGTCATTCCAGCCGGTGGAGATGTGGAGGCCTGCAGCAGCGATGTTGGAGGGCTTTCCAAGGGCCCAGAAGCCACTGCGGCCGATTCTCTTGATGCCACCGCGTCGGAAAATGACGCCTAGCAGTTTGAAGACGCGGCCGAGCTCGCTGCCAGCTGGGGGGTGGAGGATGAGGCGCTTCCTGAGGTACCACATGAGGAATGGTAGGGGCAGGTACAGTAGGAGCGGGAGCAAGAACGCTAGCCACCAGCCAACGTACTTTTCGCTGTAAGTGGTAGCGACACCCATGAAACCGCCGATGTTGATGAGGAGATAGAACCACAACATCACTCGCTCCGTTGTGGCCTCGGGATCTTCAATGACTCTCTCACCCTTCTTGGTTGTGACCACCTTGGGCACTCTAGTCGCCATCTGATCCAAGAGCAGCGGGGAAACATTCGGCTTGAACATGGCTAAGCGGTAGTATCAGCATTGTAGCAGCATCCTGGACACCGCCCCAAGGACAAGACTTGCCAGCACCCACAGCCAAGATATACAGAGACAGCAGATACGGCACCTTTGCGCTTCCATCGGCCAGCAGCGACTTGGACGCCGAAACGACCATCAATGCATGGGCAAGACCAAAGACCAGAATACCCCAACAAATCAGCTTGAACCGCCCCGTCCTCGTGTCGGCCAGCCAGCCAAAGAAGACGGGCAGCGTGTACACCAACATGGAGAAGGACTGAGAGACGGCATTGGCCTTGACGGTCCCCAGACCAAGGGCACCGGCCGTCTCCTGGGTGCCCTTGGGAGGAGCACCCCAGCCATTTCCCCCGGCCGGCAACGGGCGATTGACAAAGTTGCCAATGAGCTGCTGAACGCCATAGTACGAAGCCCGCTCTGCAAACTCGACGGCGCAAATCACATAGGCGACGGTGGGCATGGGGCCGGGCACACGACGCAGCGTCTTGAACTCTTCTTCCGTCGGCTTGCCCTCATAGTCGCCCGCCCGCAGCAAGGGGTTGTGGGCGGCATTGGCATACACCGGCGGCTTCTCCTCGCTCGAGAAGTCGCGGTCGTGTTCTACGGCGGAGGCTGATGATGCACAGGTTAGCAAGGGGGATATGTATGAGAAGATGCAGGCGGGCAAGGGAACCCCGTGAACTGATGAGCCGGCTGGCAACAACAGTGAATGAATACATACCCATGGCAAGAAATCTTTGCTGTCGATGGAGAAGAACCAGAACTCGACTCCCGAGCCAGCGAGCAGGCGATGTAGGCAAGTCTTATAGCTTGGCATTGCTTCTTCAGCGATAAGCATGGATTGGCTCGGCCCAGGTGAACGCAATGTGGGTTTAGTAGTATTCCCTCACAAGCATGTGGGCGGGTGGGGCACGCCATCTCTCGGCGCCGAGCCACATGGGGAAGGTGGCATGTCGGATGGACATACAATTTTACTGCTTTGCCTGCGAACCGATTGAGCACTGCATGTGTGCGTGGACTGTAGGAGTACTCTACTCTAGAGTAAGAGTAGCGTATGGTCATGTGGCCACAGCTGATGGGGTACCAAGTACTGGCATGGTGTACTCTATGGTGGGTGTACTGTACCGGTACCTATGTGTGTACTATAGTATCTACTCTATACCACCACGCCTGACATTGCGGTGTTGTCATGTGGTTGTGGCCATTTTCCAATCATGCTTGTTGTTTTGTAAGCACCGCTACTTCTCTGTTGCATGTGGCAGTAGTAGATTACTCGATTGTACTAGAGTCCATCTGCCGTGTGTACTAGAGTAAGTAGGAGTAGTAGAGTATGTGTCTTGCGGCGCGGACGTTGCATCGCCACGTCCTTCTTCTACCAAGTTACTATCGGTACTTGGGCCCACCGGTAATGCCGCGGAGCCAGCGTTTGATGAAAAAGACACCAATAGCCAGCTCTGCACTGCCATGGGGCCACAAGTTCGCACAACGTCATCGCAGTCCAATAGCCTTTTCTTCTAGTCCTCCTAGATATTACCCTACGTGTGATGGCCTTTTCTTCTAGTCCTCCTAGACATCACCCTGCGTGCGATGGCCTTTTCTTCTACTCTTAGTCCTCCTAGACATCACCCTGCGTGCGGCACCCTTCTCTTTCCAGCTCAGTCCAATACCGGTACTCTACTGCATCCGTCTCTCGCTGCATCAATCCATACCGAATCAAACACAGACTCTCTACCATGTAAGGTACCTACTCCACCCCAAGCCAACTCGAACAATCCACTCGATACGTCCCACAAAATCCCACACATAGTACTCCCTATTCCATCTCCCAAACCCCCAACCTAGCTACTCTAGAGTACACAGTTACACTACACTCTCTCCAACCACACCGTGCCCACACTCCCGCCCCCGCTAGAGTACCCGTACCACTAGCACAAACCATGGACCTGGGCTCGGTACGATGTTCTACAAGGAGAACACGCTTGGACAATTTTGTTCTTGCTCTCCCAGCTCGTCTGGCTTCTGTGCATTGTCCGAAAGTGGGGGGGGGGGGGTTTGCGCTTGGGAGAGCGCTAGGGTGGGTTGGCTTGCGTTGTCATCATAGTGTCAGATTTGCAAGCAAGGAGTGTAGGGTTGCATTCTGGATCCGACCCGATCGAGTCTTTGACATCATAGCTCGACGATACACACAAGCCACAAGGGAAGAAACAAAGCCGCACACATTGAACCATCAGGTAGCTGTCAATCCGCTGCAAGTCCACAAAATAAATCACATCAGTCCAGACATTGGATATTCAAAAATACCCACTGTCCACTCTACACCTTACAGCTCCCCATCCACACCCCGGCACTCTACTTGAACTCCGCCATGAAATCCCGGTGGAACCGAATCAACCTCTTGGTCCAATCCGTCCCCGGAGCCAGAAACGTCGTTCTAAAATGCAGCGTCCCTTCCTTTTGGCCAAAGCCCGAGCCCGCAACCACACACACACCCGTTGCGTCGAGCATGCGGAAGCAGTAGAATTCGTCGGCGGCCCGGCCTTCGGATTTGGCTTGCGCAAGGGCCTTGGGGGGCAGGTGAATGGTGGGGAAGAGGTACATGGAGCCCTGGTGAAGACGTTAGCGTTTCCTCCTTGTTTGGCCTTCGAGGATGGGGGGATAGGGGAGGACTGTGGGTGGAAAAAGAGAATATAGTACCTGTGGCTCGGCGCACTCTACACCCTCCATCTCCTTGAATGCCTCGTACAACGCCATGGCACGTTCCTTCAAGCCCTTGAAAATACCATCGTATTCCTGCTTGTACAGAGGATAGCTGGGCTCGCCCTCTTTGGGTGGGTTGACCATCATCTCGACGATACATTGGCCCAGTACTGGGGGACAGAGTTGGATGGAGATGAACTTGTACACCTCAGCCGCAACCTCTGGCTCAAAGCCGATGAGCTCAAAGTAGCCGCCACGGTGACCACACTCTCCCACCATGCCCTTGGACACCGAGTGCAGCGACGCAAGCTCAATGTCGTCGTATTTGCCGGGCTCCGACTTCTGCAAGTCGCGGAGTGCCTTTTTGAAGGAGATGAATTCGCCAAGGAAGACGTTGGTTTGGTAGACTTCGTCAGCCATGACCACTAGTCGCTTTTCAGCGGCGAACTTGAGTACGGCCTTGATGTCCTCGGCAGGGAGGGAAGCACCGGTCGGGTTGCCGGGGTTGATGACGCAAATGGCCTTTACGTCGGTACCCTCTGAGACGGCCTTGTCATAGGCGGCGCGGATGGAGTCGAGTGATGTGCCCCATGCAGATTCCTCGTCGAGGTAGTATGGAACGCAGCGGGCGTTGAGCACAGAAAGTGTGGCGGTGTAGAGCGGGTATTGCGGAATGGGAACCATGATGCCGGTCTCTGGCTTCGCGCAGATGGTGTGGAGAAGGGTATTCACGCCCGACGAGGCACCGTTGCTAAGGTAGATGTTCTCGAAGCTCGCAGGGTAGCCATCTCGTCCTGGTCGATTGTCAGTCTGGGTGTTTGCCACTGCGCAAGGACAAGGGCTTACGCTCAATATACTCGGCGACGCTCTGTCTGATGCCCGGTGCACCCTGACTCTGACTATATGCACCCACGCTCTTGACCTCCTTCAACAGCCTCCTCGCCCTTTCCAACACATCTGTCTTGTATCCCAGGCTCTTGATGAGCACATCTTCATGCTCCAGCAGTCCCGGATTCTCCAACAAACTCGCGACCTGGCGGAAGAATGTAATCGGCTTCTGGTCCAGCTGCTGTGGATTTCCAATGTTGGCTGCAATGACGGTGTCAAAGGGAAGGTCCTTGCCCTCGCCCTTGGCCAGCTTCGCACGGTACTGCTCCGACTTGACAGCTAGCTCGCCACGGACGGCATACTGTGCAGCCTTGACGTGTGGGTTGATGGTGTCAATGGTAAGCGCCTTGTGCGGTGCGGTCGACATGTTTCGTATGAGACGTGGCGAGAGTCGATGTAGAGGGGCGTATGCGATCGGTGATGGTCTACACAGTGCTACAAGGCAAAGATGGTGGTGGTGGTGAGCAGTCGAACGAGACTATGAGTCGGTAGAACAAGACGGCAAGCCAAACAGAAAGACAAAGTACTACTCTCTACTAGCACTGCTTTGGGGTCCCCCACAAAACGTAGTGTATGGGGCAGAGACGAAACTAGACAAAGTTGAGTTACTTTTTTTTTTTTTTTGTAACCTGCAGCAGTGACAAGACCGTCGTGGACTCGTGGACTACCCCACTACACACAAACCACCCACCCCTCCGTTTCTCGCCGTAGCCCCGAATCTCCGCGCCGTCCAAGTGCGACACGCGTGGGGGGAAAGGAAAAGAAATGGATTCCAATTACCTCGAGTGCCTCCGTCACGCGCGGCAATCACACCCGGCCGCAGCCGTGAACTCGAGACGTGGGCGCGAAGGCTGCTGATGCTCGTCTGAGCCCATGACGGCGACATTATTGGCGACTGGACCCTGCTTCTCCTGACTGTCAATCGGGTACACCGTAGACCGTAAACCCGCCCGCCCGCACGGATCCTGCCGATTCTCCACGAGTGCAGATTGGGGCTGGCAATGGCGTGAGAGAAGAAGAAGAAGAAGAAGAAGAAGAAGAAGAAGAAGAAGAAGAAGAAGAAGCAGAAGAAGAAGAAGAAGAAGAAGCAGAAGAGGGATGATGATGATGATGATGCTGCTGTCGAGTGGAGACGCGTGCGCGAGCTCAGCATCAAGAGATGTAGACAAACCTGAATCGTTGTGCGTCTAGGCCTGAAATCCTCCCGTATCGCTCACCGCAGCTTTGTGACACCAGCGAGCCTTGATCAGTGATCCGCCGCAAATTCGGAGTTAAAGGAGCGGAGCTACGGCCGGCTCAGCTGCCGGCTCACCCAACCTTGGCCCATCTGTGCCACCCCAGAGTTGGTACCGGTCAACGGCTTCTGTTAGCAACATCCAGCTTGACTCCCTATTTATTCCACGAGAGAGGGCCGGGGTGGGCTACTCTAGGCTTGCTGCTTCGTCATGCTTTTCATTCATTGAATCAGCCGCTTTTGTGCTGGGTGAGTCTAAGTCTACAAGTGCTCCGTGTTGCATCCCATTCCCCTAACCACGTTCGCTGCCCCTCAGCCTTACTGCCTGACCGTACTTTTGCAGCTTGGTGATCAATTGATCGCCCTGTTTCACCACGTCTGCGTACTGCTTGTTCTTGTCATCCGGTCGGTTGGTCTCGATGATGCCCTTGACCCGGTCGATGGTGCAGGGTATGCGGTCTGCCGCAATGAATCTCGCGAGGTCCCTGATCATGTATTAGCACCTCGACTCTGCAACGCGACTTCACAGGCAAACCCAACACTTACTTGTCGAGAAAGTCCACCGTGACACCAAAGTCCTTGGCCATGCTCTCCAGGCCGACGACTCGGTACGACTGCAAGAGCTGCTGGTAGCCGCGCAGTCGCATCTCACGCACATACCAACCACGGTGCTCGTACATGTACCGATCTTGGCTAAGGAAGTTGACTTCGACCTCGCCAAGAGCGCCAAAGAAGCCCTTGTAGTCACCCTCGTACAAGCTCTTGACCAACTTGGCGAGGGGCGCAAATTCAATCGGCGCCTCCTTCTCTTGCTGACCACCAAGAGTGGTGAGGTTCACAAGGGTGGGTGCTGGCGTGGCAGTGGACCCTGACGCAGCATCCGTCATCTCCTCATCACCGGCTCCAGGACCAGATGATGTCTGCCCGGAGAGGGCCGAGAGCTTCTCCTCCGATGTACCGACAATAGCCTTGATCTCGGGTGCGTCCACGACCTTGGACTTGAAGTCGACACGCTTCAGTGAGACGGAGCCAGCGAGGATGGCATAGACGACGAGATTGGAGTAGCTGCACAGCTCGTAACTGGTGAATGTGGAAAGGCTGTCGAGTAGGAGGGGTGCCGCTTGTGCGTGCGATCGAACGGTGAGGTAGTGTAGCCCAGTGTAGGCCTTGAGACGATTGCGGCGGTCCCAGTCACCACCGCTCTCAATCAGAGCGCTTGCTCTGTCAATCGTCTTCTTTGCCAGTATCCTGTCGCCAAAGAAGAGGGCGACACGTATTATGGCGAGCACGAGATCGATCTTGGTGCCTAGAATGCCAGTCTTTTCGAAGATGGCCTCGTAACTTGCAATCGCTTTGTCCTGTATGGTGATCAGTGCTCACTCTGTATTTGAATATCTAGAAAGGGGAACCATACCTTGTCTCCGATGCGATTGTAGAGCTCTGCCCGCTTACCTCGAGCCGCCTGAACTTCTGTCTCGCCTGCCTTTTCTGATGCCTCATCCTCTTCCTTTTGTATGGCTTCTAACTCCTTCTCGTTCTCCGCACTCAAGCTCTGGTAAAGCTTCTCATCCCAGGCCAATGGTATTTCAAGTGACGGCTTCTTCGTAGCGAGCATGTTGGCCAGGCTGGCCGAGGGTCTTCGATGGCTTGTGGCTTGCTCTGCCCCACCCTCACCTGGTGTGTTCAATACGCCTTCCGCGGGATGGGCCAGGTACCGGTACAGCGGCGCCATCTTGTGTTCGGCGATGGCATCTTGGACCGATTTGAGCGAGGCTTGCTTGGCGGACTTGGAGGCAGCGGGATTGGTGAGCTGGAAGATGTGCTGCGACAGTTGCAGGTCGGGATACTTGGCGAACTGTGGGTCACCCATTGTCACAGTCTGTGTGATATATGGGGGGAAATTCGGTGGTGGGTGGCGGTCAAGGTGGTGGGTTGAGTGGCGGAAGTGAGAGAGATGGCTGTCGTGTTTTGGTATTCCGCAGGTGAAGCTGCGATGATGAGGTACACTAGCGCGACTCGTGCGACGGACCAGGCACGTACTCTAGCTGAACTCTCCCCCAAAAGTTCCCACAAGCCGTTTACACTCAATTTCTTTCTTCTACACTTCAGCAACAGTTTGCGGGTTTGACTCTACTTCAAACTTCAAACCTTCATAATTGACTCTTACAGACTGCATACAACAAACGCTCTTCAAGGCGACACACGACATAGCAGGGTCATGAACACACCTTGTACTGTACCATAGAAAATGGACAGCAGGAAGCGCTCTGCCTCTAGGTCGCCCTCACGATCACCACCGCGTCAGCGAAAGCGCCCTGGCGCAGGAGCGCGCCTCTCAGTCGCCGACCGCGAAGCCGCGCGCAAACGTCAACAGCAACGGGAGGAGGAAGCTGCGAGAAATGCACAGAAAGAGGCCGCACAGCGAGGTGTTCATGATGTTGTCAAACAGCACTACAACATGGTGCCCGAGCGTGGCCGTGAATGGCGTCAAACAGATAGCAAGATCAAGGGGCTGCGCAGCTTTAACAACTGGGTCAAGTCGTCCATCATCCAGAAGTTCATCGGCGACGAGCGCAATCTGAGGATACTAGACATTGGCTGTGGCAAGGGAGGGGATTTGGGCAAGTGGGAGAAGTCGCGCAAGGTCGAGTTGTATGTGGGCTGCGACCCTGCCGATGTCTCGATCAAGCAGGCTAAGGATCGATACGCTGAAATGAGGAAGAAGTCGAGGCGTATATTCCATGCTGAATTTTACGCCAAAGACTGTTTTGGAGAATTCCTGGGCGACATCCCCATCATCAAGGACGTCGGCATCGACCCTGGCGTGGGACCAGGAAACGCTATGAGCCAGCGGTGGGGAGGGGGTGGCTGGGACATGGTCACGATGATGTTCTGCATGCACTACGCGTTTGAGAGCGAGGCAAAGGCCAAGGGCATGTTGCGTAATGTAGCAGGAGCTCTAAAAAAAGGGGGAAGATTCATAGGCACCATTCCCAACTCCGACATCCTCACACAAAAGGTCATCGAGCACCACAAGGCCAAGGGCACAGCGCCTCCGGATGTGGCCGGTGGCGCAGACGACGATGATGACCGGCCGACATTTGCAAGCGACGACGAAGACGACTGGGACCCTGAGAAGAGTCTGGATAGCCCGAAACCCAACGAGAGTGAGCACGCGAATGGCGAACAGAATGGTGAACATGCAGAGGCATCCAAAGACAAAGGCAAAGAGCAGGACACATCAAAAGATGTCCAGGAAGCTGGTGAGGTCGAAGATGAAGGCTTCTCATGGGGCAACAGCATCTATCAAGTCAAGTTCCCTGGCAAGACACCTCCAGATGGTACCTTTCGTCCTCCTTATGGCTGGAAGTACTCGTACTTTCTCACCGAAGCCGTCGAAGCACCCGAATACGTGGTTCCATGGGAAGCATTCCGTGCGTTGGCCGAGGACTACAATCTCGAGCTCCAATACCGCAAGCCGTTCAGAGAGGTCTGGGAGGAGCAAAAGGACGATCCCGTCCTGGGGCCACTGAGTGAAGTTATGAAGGTCAGGGACCGGAATACAGGTCAGCTCCTCACTTCGGAGGAGGAGTTGGAAGCAGCAGATTTCTACCATGCATTTTGTTTTTACAAGGTTTAGTGAATTGCATGACTGGTGCATTAGAAGTTGGGACAGGATGTAGATCCATCGTGTCAAGTAAGGCGAGGATATATGGGTCGGAGATGCAGAGACGTGGATGTATCGAGCATTTGATCAATGACATGATTAGTATTTATCATCAGTATTCAAGATAGTTGTATGACCGACGAAGTCGGGCATGTGAAAGAAAGCCACATGCTCATGATTGAAAGGGACTCGAAGTCTTTCGGCACTAGCATACCGCTTCCACAACAGCAACCCGATCATGAGCGCTACGAGGCGGGGTTTCATGATGGCCAATGGTCATGTACAGTTGGAATGTATAGTGCAATATACGTAGACGTTGAGGAAACAACAAGACACAAGCTTCTTGCGTAATCGTTCATCCACTGTGGCGCGCTCCCCATCAACAAGAACAAACCATCAAGACCACGCGATATAAAATTGATGACGCAAAAGATTTTCTGCACAAATAGACCAACACCATCCATCTGAACACCAGACTACAATAAGCGAACCCTATCATAAAGTCCCATTCATCAACGTACAGTACTTGTCACGAACCAGAAACAGCTGAAGCCCCGTCATCCGCGTGACTTGGGCGGACTCCCAAACCGACCTCGGCAAACCGTTCCCCGGCAATCCCTCAATCACAAGCCTGTCTCCCTAACCCCAGGATCGTCGAGAGGTGCCGAACCGCAACCGCAGGCGTCCTCCTCTTGTCGCTTCCGCACTCTTCTTCTGTGGCCTTCTTCATCCTGCTAGCTGCTTTTATAATCCAACAGTGCGACGTCTATACTTCGCTCAACACGTCCACATCACCGAACACGTCAACGTGCGCTGCTGCCCAGGATATTACGACTCCGACTCCGCCGACGACTTCGCCGTGAGCAATTGAAAGGAAGACCGAGGTTGATCAGTTCTCTCGCATCAAAGCATCGAAGCTGGACTCGTTCTCGCCCTCGCCATTTATACTCAGTGTACCATTCGGATCCGACAAGGCAGACAAAATGGTCGCAGACGCTTTGATCTACCACCCGACGGTGTCGCACTACCTCAAGTTTGTCGCGACGACTGGTACGTTCTCTTACCATTCTAATCCTTCTGTCATTCCTCCATCATTTGCTCCCTCACACACATGATGACGATCTAACGCCCCAATTACAGTCGGTCGCGACAAGGTGCTCCGTACCCTCCAATACTTTTCCCGCTTTCTTGCGTGGTACCTCTACCGCACCAACCGCCCTGCCTCCACCATTGCACCCTATGAGGCTACCAAGAAGACCTTTGGCGCAACACGCAAGCTTATGCGCGTGGGAAAGTTTGTCGAGCACTTCCGCGCTGCGGCGGTAGCGAGTGATGCTAAGAGCATGGATCCGGTGCTGAGGTTCACGGCGATTGGGAGACAGTTGGGATATGCATTTTACATGCTTTGCGACAATGCTTGTGTGGTAAGTATCTCTCTTGCTTTCCTCCTGATGAGCAACTTCATTATAATCAACACTCTGCCAATCACCCATTCCAACAAAACCCACGTTCGCGCAAAACAATAAAAACTAACAAAACCTCCCCCCAGCTCGACGCAACCAACATCCGCAAACACTCCCTCTCTGCCCGCCTCACCCGCGAAGGCTACCGCGCCTGGTTCACGGGAATTTCCTTCTCCATCGCTTCGGGCATCTACTCGTACTACAACCTGCTGCAGCGCTCCAAGGCTATTACCTCCTCGGCCGACCCGGAGAAGGTCGTGGAGAAGAAGAAGGTGGAGAAGGAACTCAATGCTGTCAAGGTGCAGTTGGTCAGCGATCTTTGCGACATTACAATTCCGATGAGTGCGTTGGGTTGGGTGGATTTGGACGATGGAATTGTCGGCTTGGCGGGTACGACGAGTTCGCTCTTGGGGGTTTGGGGGGCTTGGAGGAAGACGGCTTAGGGTTTTGGGGGATCTTGATGGGTGGGGTTTGGGTTTGGGGGAGATGCGGGAGATGGGGGGAGGGCAAAGTAGGCACATACACAGGTGTGTGTGCTGGAGGCTTGGGGTTAAATTCAAAGTGTGCCAGGGGTGGTATAAAGCGTGTTGTTGTTATAGTTCTACAGACGGGCAATTGCAATCTATGTTTCCTTTTCTTTCTTTCTCCATTTTCTTGCACTATCTTCAGGCTTCGAGCTCCGAGAGTGAAGATGTAGGCAGTGATATTTGTTTTAGAGCTGGTATTCGAGGTTGGGCTTGGGACTTGGTCGGACTCGGACGTCAAGTTTGGACTTCAACTTTGTTCGACGTTAGACTGGACTTGGACTTTGGCATGGAATTGATCTCGGCTTGGACTGGGATAGACGAAACCGGAAAATGACGATATTGCTCCCATAACATAGAAAAACAAAACAGATTTCAATGATTAATGCCCCTATGCGCTCACTCTTGTTTTGAAGGAAAGAGATGCCGATTGCATGGATTGTGTAATACAGTCACTCTTGTTTTGCAAAGACGGAGATGCAGAGGGCGCAGATTGTGTACTGTTTGTGTTGTTGTTTCAACGTAGTGCTTTGATAAAATTGTAAGACAGGATAGAGTCGTATGAGATGCTGTGAAGAATGAAAGAGAATGTGGAGAAGGTATGGGAAGTCTGGGAACTGGGTAGTTCGGAGCAGTGAGTCGTGGTCAGGCATAAAAGTCCTAGTGAGCATGGGTTTAGTTCTCAATGCTCCTTTCCTTTTTGAAAGAGAGAGGACAGGGTTGGCGGATTGGTGTTTGTGTGAGGGGGAGATTATGAGAAGATTTAAGGAAAAGAGCAAGGATGGAGATAATAGAGAGTCATGAGTGGTATAGGAGAGGAGAGAACGAAGCGAGAATTACGATAACCATAATGTAGAGAAGACAATATTGAGACAAAGACAACGCAAATGAGATCGATAAGATGTAGTACTATGTACTATTAGTGGAGCCAGTTCATGGGGAGTTGGGGGTGTCTCGTAGCGAGTTACCATGGTATGAATTGCCGATAAATGTGACTGTGCGTGTGGTGTGCACAAGTGGGTGGTGTGATTGTGCCTCGAGTCCCAAGTTTGCATGATTGTTGGCATGGGTAGTGTGTAGTCTACAAGTTGGAAGCAATCAGAGCAGAGCCCTTTGATGTAACATCACGACCTACTTATTCACATGCGTATCATGGTAGAAGCAAGTGTTTCGCCTGTGGACTTACAGCAGACTACTATATAGCCTCTTTTTCAGGCATCTGTGTCGGCAGTTATAGAGCATGAATAGTAGATTAAGTAGGAGTGACAAGGAATCAGCCTCGCTTGGTTTACCTGGGAACATCGCGATCGTCATTGGAAATCAAGTGTTGTTCGCTGTGGAATGCTAGCCAAGTGCGGATTAGTCTCGAGTCCATTTCCTCTCTATCAGTTCCTTTTGGCCTGACGCACGGCATTGTTACTATCGGTGTGTCGTCAGCACACCACACAATCGCAGTGCCAGTAGGTAGGTCCACGACAGCCTCAGGCTACTCTAGCTACTCTAACTACTCTGGCTACATAGGTAGCACAGAGTAAGCTGGAATACAGTTCGACCCGTTGTCATACCCACCCACCCTAAGCCAAAGCTTCATCAGGCCTCAATTCTCACTCCGTGAATATTCTGGCCCCCATTCGTTTGAACCCAATCGCTCAGCGCGAGGCAGCCACATCTCCTGGAAATAGCAGTGCGCCTGCAGCGTACGACGTGTGTCCAACGATCTTGACCGAAAGAATCCTACTAGGCTTGTCGTCGGTGGGAAGCAAATTTGCTGTTCTGTTACTGTACAGCAAGACAGCCCAAGGCCGAAGGCATGGAGCGGCGTCACGACGAGCATCGCGGGGCTGCGCAGCAACTCTTGGAGTGTACAGTAGCTTAGTATCGTGAACTTGGTCTGGGAAAAGCAACAAGACAGAGTTTGAGGATCGACGAGAAAAGGGCTTGCTTTGAGGAATTGCATCTGCAGGAGACCCGCTTGGCCGATTCTAGAAAAGGGGTTTCCTCCGATGCGGGAACTTGCTCCCGACAGCCGTCGGGGAGGGGAACCTGAACACCACCTGAACACCACCCTCGTAAGAAGACGACGTTGCGGCGACTGGGCGAGGTTGGCAAGGCCGCAAAGGCCCGGTCAGGAAATGGGGCATGACTGGTACCTGCGAACCACGACTGAACCATGCCGTCCTTGTATTGTAGCGGTGACCAACAATCAAGATCGGCACTCACGAAACGGTCCGGTGTGGGCCAATGGCTCGCCTCGACTGACGGGACCCCCTGGGCTGTGTTGATCTCGGTTCCTGAACCATGGGAGCTATCATGAGTCAAAATCACCGCTGCTCTTGTACCAGACTGACATCACGGCCAGTGAGATGCTCGCCAACAATGCTGGTGTCTCAAGTCGCCCTGAAACATGCTACGTTCGGTAGACGCTTGCTTATTCATGGCTCAGATAGGTACGAGGTGGGAGAGAAGGGAGGGGTCGGTCCTTTGCGTCTCGGCAATCCTTCCCTGCCCAACACTGATCAACCTCACACACAGGACGGCACGGAAAATAGGAAGCTTGAACACAGACACTAGAGACTTGGGAAAAAAGCAAGAAACGTGTCCCTCGTCAGTTCATTCGGTCATATTGGGGGCAAGGTTCCGCCTACTCCCGTTTCAGACAAAGTGTGGCGTTCGCCCAGTTTGTGGGGTATCAACAATCAGATTTGCTATTCGACAAGTGGACATTTCACTTGGGTTTACTGGGAGTCGATTATACACCACAAGGACGATCTTCCCGCAAACCCATCTGCGCGATGAGCACACGCTCGATGATGGTGTGTGTTCCTCTTCCCCCAATGTTGTTGCGATTAATCAGTAGAGCGGATCTGACGGCTATTTCTCACCCACCAAGCACCGAGGTGCTGCCAGCAAACCACCAGGCTGGCCTAGCTTTGGTACCTGGGGTAAGAAAGGACGCGTCTGACTGCATCTTGGGTTCTTGGATGGTGGAAGCACGTGTCCGCTTCTTGTGGCAGCCTATCATGTCTGCCCAAATACCCAGGCCAGGGGTTTTTTCACAGCTGCATATCCTACGATACCCTGCAACCTGCACGACCTAAACGGATCATCTTTCGGTGTAGTTGAGGGGGTCCACTTTCTGCGTGGTGAGGCACCACATTTGAGTTAGGTTCCATTTGGGGTGATTCAGCCGTTGGCAGGTCCACTTAACAGACTATATGGCCCGACGATGCCTCGCACTATCAGCCTTGTCTGGAATCTCCGAGTCCTCTTCTGGCTTTATTCCAAAAAGCGCTTCCCTTCTGTTGCATGCTGGCAATGCTGGGCTTGAGTAGGAGGAGGACATGTACACACGCTTGAACACTGCTTATACGACTGTTGCCGGGTGCCCAATTACATGATATTGACGAGTCAGGGCTCAGCCGGATTTGAGACATCGACATTCGATAAGTTATCGGGCGCTGCACGCCTTCGCAGTGTACGACCATGAGCAACTCTCTGGAGTCGGCTTTGGTGACGGCACACCCACATTTGCACCCGGATAACGCAAACCTGCCAACGACAAATCAAGCGGCTACTATCCTGGGTGTTACCATCAGCTTCTTGGTATGTTTCACGCAATTCCTCTCTCAACAGCCTCCATCACTAACCAATTCCCCAACAGTTCGTTGCCTTTATCACATTATGTCTACGTCTATGGGTACGATTTCGAGACCGTCTCTGGGGATGGGATGATGCCTTTGTACTATTGGCATGTCTGACAAGCATTGCGGGCGATTCCATGGTCTGCTTGAGTACGTACATTTGAAGTGGTGATGCGTGAAAGCTAATCTGACGGTTCACAGTGCCAGCAGATGGTTTAGGTTTACACCTTTGGACGCTCGATGAGGGACATCGCGCTGCGTATTTTAGGGTGAGTTGCAAATCACACGTGCAATACTTTTGGGCTTGCTAATCCATTACCGCAGCATGTGTACACTACGAATATTGCATACTGTGCCAGCTCCGCACTCATCAAACTATCCATCATGTTCCAGTTTCTACGCCTATTTGCCGAGTCTTGCCCCTCGCATCGCAGTTGTCAATATCGCATTGCATGTCGTCTGACCTGGCTTCTAATCATCATCACCACGATATGGGGCATCGTCTTCTTTTTCATCGCCATCTTCCCTTGCAGACCGATAGAGAAAAATTGGTATCCGTCAATGGAAGGACAATGTTTTGGATGGGGTTCCAAGGACCCGGATACCTTTTTCCCCATGTTCCTCGGGCATTCTGTTAGCAACTCGGTACTGGACATTGCGGTCTTGGCTTTGCCTGCCCCGTTCTTGGGCATGCTGAGACTGGCAGGAAAAGGCAGAGCAGGATTAATAACGCTGTACACCCTCGGATGCATGTATGTATCCTTACTCTAACTAGCTTCCCGTCTCTGTCTTGCTAATTTGTGAATCAGTGTTGGTGCAGCCGCCATCGGCCGCATGATAGCCTTGTCTATCAATCGCGCTGGCACCATCCCAATCTTCGACATGACCTACTACATCCCACTCGTCTACATCTTCGCCGTCCTCGAAGTCAACATCGCCATCATGGCGGCCTCGATACCCATATTCTGGCCCGTCATGGCCAATCTCGCTTCCGGCAAGATCTTCGTCGTCAACGAAGTCGAAATCCACGTCGAATCCGCTTCCCGAGGCAGCTTCGGCTCCGGCCGCGCCATCGACATTAATGAGTCCAAAGATGCCTACAGCGGCCGCCAAAGCCGCATCAGCATCACCGCCAAGACATACAACGACCGTCGCCGCTCCCGCTCCAGTCATCGCCACAAGCAGAGTGATGGCTCCTCGGTCAATAAGAACCTCGGCCACCGGCCCAGCCAGGACTCGAATCGCAGCCTATTTCACAAGGTCCACCTCGAGCCCAAGACGCTAAGTGGGATCCTGCCTTCAGAAGAGGAGAATTGGTTTGCGGACCTGGATCGTATGCATCCGGGCAAAACGACGACGACGGTACAGAGGACAGATATCCCGCTGGAGCAGATCAAGGCGTTTGAAGATCGGTGATGTACCTGTATATGTGTATGTGTGTGTCTTGTTGTATGATATGTGGGTATGGGCATGGCATGACATGGCATGGCATGGGATTTTGTAAGCGCACCACATTTTTGGCTGTTTTGAGCTGTGTGCTTTTGTTTTTCTACTTTAAGCGAGATGATACCCTGGGCCCTAATATACATAATATGCGAACTT